CAGGGGAGTATTGGGATGTAGCGCACGATGTTTCATTGCTTGACAAACACTTTGTAGTTTTGGATTTGGCACATCACGTGGGCGAAGTGCTTCCTCAAATTGTTCGGTTTCCGGGTCACTGAATTTCAAAGTTTTACAGATATGCGCCTGTTAAAATAGCATCACCCTGTGCCAATTTGCTAGAATATTTTGACTGTTCAAAGATCGCAAGTGGTACCACAGATTTTTAATACAGCAGAGGTACCACTAATTCTTCAACTGAGATGACAGTGGGATTCCTTAATGCCACAATAAACAAGCCTTTTAAAGCTAGGGCCGCTTGCGAAACCCTCCATTAGACATCAATTTTCCCCGTTCTTTTTGCGGAAACAAAAAAACAGACTTACAAATAAGCTTTTGAGAGATCCATAGCTTTGGCGAGCGCATGCATTGCACTGAGATGATGATCTGGAAATGGAATTAAGGCATTAAAGTAACATCGATATATAAAATTGCTCATCAAGTCAATAACGAAAGCCACGTGATTAAGCGACAACCACATGCCTTTTTTTTCAAGAAAAGAAGCTGAAACCGGCGAAATAAGAAAATTTAAAGCAGGCAAAAAAAAAAATCTGAGGAAAATCTGAAGGAAATTTTATGTCGCCGGTGAAAAGCTCAGCTCAGCAGGAGACATGTAGCTGGATTTTTCAGCAAAATGAGGTTAAATGTGGGTGGTATAATCATTCGCCCTAATCCCTCGTTTTCTTATACCACTAATGTCTCATTTGTTTATAAGACTACGACTTGCAAGAAAGGTAGGAAAGGAGGACTGTGAAGTAAGGAGCGGGAAAAGGCAAGGGAAAGCGAGGAAAAAACAGTGCCACCAGCCTGGCAAAAATGAAAACAACAAAATTCAAACATTTCTGCTTACCTACATAAATTAAAATATTAAAAAATTTGAACTAAAAAAGCAATGACAAACTTTTGGGTTCTGTTGCAGGATCATCTAATGGTGGAAAATCGACGCCACGGAAATCCTCGTAAAATGGTAAAGTCAGTCCCACAAACATCTGCAAAAAAAATGTACACAAGTAGTGAATCGCTCATCATCGCGCTCTAAAAGTAGCCAAAGTGCTTTCTAGCAAAAATGATACCACAAAGAGAGAATTCTACAGAGTGCCTCTGCAACATTTGATTTTGCTGGGCATACGACATGGGCTATAAAATCCCTCGGCAAAATGCGAGAAATAAAAATACAAATTGGAAAAATGAAAAAATAAAATCGTATAAAAACTAAAGTACTCATTCATGATTATGAAGTTTCGTGATTATCTTAATATTGCAATCATTCGGGGACAACAAAAAAGATTTGATATGCAATCCTCAATGCGCAACTGCCCTGCCATTTGTGCTACTTATATTCGCAGAAATGAAAAATGCAACCGATTCTTTTGTGGGTAAATTTCCTTTACTGTATCGCGTAATAGCGTGATATATCAAATAGTGATTAATGGTTTTTTTTGTTAAAGATAGATTAAAGACCAACTGCGTTACTATGACGCAGCACCCCTGTCATGGTTCAAACTTTAATCGCCCTACCCTCACTAAACTTTCGATCTTTGTCCCCCGGGGTATAAAAGCACTCCTCCTCATTGCCGGGACCACTTTTACCGATCTCCATTACAGAACACCTTTACCGATCTCCATTACCGACCTCCACTGCGACTTACTGCTGTATATCAATATTCCTATTCTGGGGAGCTCCGGCTCCCCAGAACCTCACCTACTTTTTGTATCTTGCCTTTTCACATTACTATGTATAATAAACGTGTATATAGGACGCGGCGTGTTACATACACATATACACACACACACACACACACCTACCCACGGGGTACTCACTAGTTTAAATAAAATAACAATTAGGGTCGCGATAACTGTCAAGATGTCTTTTAACGCTAAGTTAAAAATGGGTGGCAAATTACACACGCACACACACACGCATACACATACACACACACGCACACACACAAACACACACAAACACACACACAAACACACACACAAACACACACACACAAACACACACACATACACACACACACACACGCACAGAAAACCATTGCCAATATGTGTTTTTGCACTTGCATAAACATGCAATCATTGGCGACGCACACCAGGCTGACCGGTGCAATCATGGGTTTTCGCATTCTTTCGTTCTATAGTAAGATCGCTTGGAATCCCAGTAGCTAGAATTTGTGTAAATATAGAATAACCAAAATGATTTTCTGAAATTATATCAATTTTTCCTTTAAAAATAAAACTCCTGATCCATTTCAATTATTCAACATGTTATATTTTTTGCTTTCTTTTTTCTGGACCCACAAAGAAAAGTATTTTGCGAAGACAAAAATTTACAGAAAACTACCTCAACCCCTTTCTTGCTCCTTCGTGGAAATAATGCCATAATTCGAGGGTGCGATGCAGCATTATATACATATCGAACTAAGGCTACCGTGTCCTCAGCAATCATTGCATTTACAAGTGCAGACATAGCAATACACGCATCCTGCAATGCAAAAAAAGTTAAAAGATTCAAATAGCCCTTACTTACCAAGACAATAAGAAAATACTTGTTTTGGCAGTACAAGACAAAAGTGCAAAAAAACGATCTATCACCAATAGTCTGTTCGAAATAATAAAAAATGTCAAGCGCTTTTTCGTTTTACATTATTTTTATGCATTTTTTTTTTCTGCAGCTATGCAATGCAGGAAACGCAAATTGACGATGGGTTGTCTCTATGTGCGTCCGTACCGATTTTTCATCTCAAGACCTATAAAAGCTACAGGGCTGAAACTTTGGAAATTTAATCTACATGCACATACGGGCCCCAACCCCCAAAATGGGCGCCCCTACCCACGTGGTACACACATACGAGCCCGCCAAAGTTTTTCACGGATAAGCTGCTACTCGGGAATTTGAGAAGCTAGAAAGCTGAAATCTTAAGGGAGTGTTCCCCGTCTAAGTGGGTGTTAATAAGCTCAAATCCAGCCCACGGGTAAGCGTGGTACCCATGTACACGCTCGAGAAATTTTTTTTCGGGTAAGCTACTAACTTGGGAATCAGAGAAGCTAGAAGGCTGGAATTTTGAAGGGATGTTTCCTGGCAGTCCTGGCAGCT